AACTGGAAACTCAATACTAATTCTCTCCTTATCTATAAACAAACCCATTGCCTGTGTTCCCATAAAGAGGAAAATGAAAACAATCTAGTCAGTTGCTTACAGTACTAGGTGAAGGTATGGAATAAAATATTAGCTTCATAAAGGACTAGTTATACATGTTTTTCATGTCAAATTCGAGTCATTTGTGTTTGAGACTAAGTTGGCTGCTATTATTTGTGTTAACAGGTTGTATTTTCAGGTTTCTGTCAAGTAATAGTCAACCAAGAATTTGCCTGTTAATTTAATGTTAGCTTGGTGTTGTTTTATGGTATCCTGCTTAAAATAGACAACTTTACCATAAGCTTTGTATTTTGTTTTCATGGCTTTGAGGCGCTTGCTCCTAGCTATTATTTTGGGAATGAATATTGATTAATACGGCATTAGTCTCAAGTCTTCTCAAGATATGTATTTTGTGTATGAGTGAGGACTTTCTTTGGGTTTAAATAAGATGAAACCAATTCAACCTGTCTGGAAATGAACATACAATAGGCGTTGTTCTCCTCGTAATGTCTGGTCTGCTACAAGTAGCATTTGTTTCTAAACAGTCATTGGTTGCATTAGTCAATAACTGTTTATTTTTTGGTATCTAGGAACTCGCTTCATTAATTATCCTCTTGTTTGGAATCTTAATGCACTAAAGCTGGTGGGTTTTTGGTCATATAGGATTCATGTGATCCTGGGAACCATTCAGATATCACTGAGGAAAGAGACGAGATCAAGGCTCAAATGCCATGTTCTGCTGGGGTGGTTGTTGCCCAAGCTCAAGAGACAAAGTCAGAGGAAGGAGATGTTTGCCTACCGAAGGAAACGTTCAAAATTCAGCAAAATGGTTTCCTACCAGCTTCACATGTAGATATGGGAGGGTTAGAGGATCCGCTGAATAAAAGCACTGTTGCTCCGTCACAAGTTGAAGAATTTGCATTCCCTACTGAAAATGGAAAGCAAAATCATGAGAGCCTAGAAAACTATGCTCGTAACCCTTCACATGGCTCCCATCCTAACCCACTCATGCATGGATCAGCCCACAACCGCTCATCAGATGCCTCTTCTTCTGGTGCAGGCAGTGGTTTCCATAAAGGAAATGCTTCAGGGAGCAGAAGCGACCTATATGCATTGGTGCCTCATGACTCGCAGGATAGGTTGGGTGGTGTACTGAATGCACTTAAACAAGCAAAGCTATCACTACAACAGAACATGACTAGATTTCCACTAGTAGACGGTACATCTGTACATAAATCCATTGAACCGTCTATTCCTGCTTTGAAAACTGGAGACAGAGTAGAGATTCCTGTTGGTTGTGCTGGGCTTTTTAGACTACCAACCGATTTTGCAGTTGAAGAAGCTGCAACTCAAAGTAGCTTCCTTGGTTCTTCTTGGTCTGGAAGGTATTGTCCTGAAACACTTGTTACAAGCTCTTTTGTTGAGATGAGACCTACCTTTTCCATGAATGCTGCGGATAGATATGTCCCCAGCCCCTTCATTGAGACAAGACAAACTTTTTCTACTAATGCTACTGATCGATTCATCCCCAATGCTTATGTTGAGAGTAGACCAAACTTTCCAGCTAATGCTGCTGAACCATTTGTCACTAGTCCTTCCGTTGATACGAGATCAAATTTTCCTGCTGATAATAGATTTCTTAGTGGCCCCTATGCAGAGTCTGGGTCAAGAGTTTCTACGCTGCAGCCACATTTTGATCCTTACTTTGATATGGGGTTACCCTCATCGAGATATGCCCAGCCTCCCTATCCCAACTATCCCTCTGTTCCTGACCGAACACCATGGATAACCTCTGATGAAGCACTAACAAGAGCCCTTCCGAGAAAGCCAGCTGGGGCACCAACAGATCGGTTTTCATTTTACGATCATGTTCGACCTAATATGTACAGATAGTAGCATGCCATTGCTAGTTATTCAGAGTGAAGCTTAGTAGTGAATAGTGGTTTTTGTAGAAAGATTTTGAAGTCAGGGCCCTCTTCTTAATTGCCTGTGTATCCTCATCAGGTTTCTGTATTTATTGAAGGTGACTGAGAGATTGTACACGCATGCCACCATTTATGCTTCCATCTTATGTCGTCTTCTGTTTAATGACTTATTCAAAGAATTCTTTGAGTTTGTGTATGTGGCCTAATGGAATAGTTAAATTGATTGGAAAACAAATATTAAATAAAAATATTTTCTCTGATATACACTCCGGGGACTTCTCGCTATGTGGTGTACTGCATCTCGAGTCTCGACATACATTGGGTCTATTTATATACGAAGTATACCAGCACATTTCCTCTATCAGCAGTAGAGAACTCAGCTAAAGTACACATTTCCTCTATCTATAGGCTCAACACCATTTCAACACTCCTCCATCAACTTGGTTTCGACTTTCTCATTTTACCTTGTGGGCTCCATCATGAGTCAAAGAAGAAGGGTAGGTGTAGCCCTACTCTGCAAGAAATAAGCTAAAAATGAGTAGGAGATGGAGTTGAAGGTTTCTAACCCAGGATCTTATGAAACAAGAACGTCTTAAGCTATTGGGAAATGAGCCAACAATTTATTATCACGTGTGAGGTGTTTTACATATCTAAAGTTCCCAGTTTACTAGTTGTCACTCACATAAATTCCTAAATAATCTATACTTTTGTGATCTTCCTCACTATTTAGTATTTGCACCACTACAGTGGTGCTACTAGGAGGAGACCTTAAAATATATATATATGGGGCAGATTCGTGGCATCATATTTTTGACACAAGTTTTGACACAAATTTTGAACCATTAGATTAAGCACTATTAATGGCTCAGATTAAATCTCACAACTAATTTATTATTATCTCTAAAATGATACATTATTCAAATTATTATTATTTTAATCTAATAATTATGAATTGCACAGTACCCCAAATTCTACATCTCCCTTCCTCCATGCCCAACGTCGGTAATCTCCTCCATAGCCTCGATGTGCCAAAATCTCCATTTGCCTACTGCTAGTTATATGCAATTGATACTATCTATTTTGACATGGTTCATACCCAGATCGAAACAAAGAAATGCATATAGAGTTTGAGAAAATACCCAGGAGACATGGGATCATGAGGATAAAAAAACACAAACTTTCTCTCCACTTAGAATCAGAACGAATTTGGGGGACTTCCATGAGAGGGCAGGGTAATCATGCTCTTAGTTTCTTGAAATTTCATTGGGGATGATCACAATGAATCTCAATCAATTTCTTTTCCCCCTTTATCAGTAATCTCAATTTTATTTCAATATGTAATAAGTTAGCAATCATGGCTCCTTTCTTTTTATTTTGGTTAACTGGAAATTTAGAAATTTAGAAATTTATTAAAATCTAGAAATTTAGTCATATTCCCTATGCTTGATCTTTTTTTGTTTTTCTCAGCAAGGGGAAACAGAAGTTTTAATTTAGCAGCACCATGAAAAAAAAAGAAAAAAAAAAACACAGAGATCAACCTTCCTCCTCCTTACGTCAATCTTCCTTATTGGGTATTTGATTTTGCTATATGAGTTTTTTTGGTTGTTTCTTGTTATGGAGGAAAATGGTGTGTGGACTTTGATGTTATTTCAAAGGCAAAAAGAAGATTGAAGAGAGAAAAAAAGGGAAAGTCATGAAAGAAGAAGAAGATGTCATGAGAGAGAATGTTGATGCTTTTAGGAGGATGTGAAAACATAAATGAGGAGGGAGAAAATTGAATGGCAAAGTTAATTAAATTCAATTTTAATTAAAGAATTGGTTTGTTTAATCTTAGCCATTTATTGTAGTCTAATCTAGTAGTTCAAAATTTGTGTCAAAACTTGTGTCAAAAATATGATGCCACGAATCTGCCCCATATATATATATTTTAAGGTCTCCTCCTAGTAGCACCACTGTAGTGGTGCAAATACTAAATAGTGAGGAAGATCACAAAAGTATAGATTATTTAGGAATTTATGTGAGTGACAACTAGTAAACTGGGAACTTTAGATATGTAAAACAATATATATATATATATATATATATATATATATGTGTGTGTGTGTGTATGTGTGTGTGTGTGTATTAAGTTAGATTTCCCACCCATCACGTAAAAGTAAATCGGGTTTCCCCCCAATGTTGTGGAGAGTTTTCCCCTCAATTTTTTGATGGGATTTTGCTCCCTTGCCTTTTGGCAAGCTTTTGTCTTCTCCCCTAGGCTTTTAGGGGTTGTTTCTCAGCCTTTTGGGTTGATCTTGCTTGATCTTGGTAGATTTCCACCTTTGCCCTCTTGTTGTTTGTGCTTTTGAATTTTAAGGGTTTGGTGGTAGCTTTTCTAAGATCTTTTCCATGGAGGTGGAGTTGATGGATCTGGTGGGATCTACTCCTTTGGTCTTGTGGGATTGTGTGAGGGGTTGCTAGAGATACTGTGACTTCCTTTGAAAGTCAGGGTGGAATTTGAGTGGTAATTGCTCTCACTTTTTGGTGTTTCCAGTCCCATGGATGCTTCAGAGTTGGTTTTCCACACGATCTTTGTTTAGCACTGGTTCATGAGTTCTTATTGATCCTGTCATCTTCAACTCTGAGTGAGTTGGGGTTTAATTATATATGGAGTTTGCTCATTGTTCTTACACTGGTTGTTTTTATTGTTTTATTTTTACTTTCTTGTCTGCAAGAACCCTTCTCTGGGGGCAATGTTCTTCCTGTGTAATCTTGTATCTGCATTCATATTAATGAATTTACTTTGTTACCCAAAAAAAAAAAAAAACAAAAAAAGAAGAAAAAAGATAAAAGAAAGGAAGTAAAAGACCTAACTATCCTAACACAAGCCTAATAACTTAAAGATCCATATCATAGTATGACATATGGTCTACCTACTACCGTTACCTTGTTTATTGATGCATCATTGATTCACCTATGGACAACACAAATCAGTCCCATATGCTAATGACTCGAGCCTCTCACACCAGTAACATTCTTATTCCATTACAAAAAATAAAAATAAAAATAATAATAAATTACTGTCGAAAATGTGTCAAAATCAAAGGTTGTCCATTTAAAGGAGGTAGTGTAATCATGGACATCCATCTTCTAAAGACATGCCAAAAATGCCTTATTACAATATCCGCAGTTTGCACACTTTGAGGACTTTAATTCCCAACCACATATACAAAGGTTTGCTACCTTCAAACTCGTCAAGCGGAAATCAGAATTTCGAACTCCGGTATTCGCCTACTACAAGGGACTTTATTGGACAAAAAAAATCTGAAACCTGAAGTTTTGAGTTCTTCTCTGGGAAAGAGATGGCACAATCTACCACATGAAAATATTGTACTTGTTCCTCCCCAATGCCTTGAACCAAACTAAAATTAGAACAGCACTTAAGACACAAAACAGCACCAAAACGCACAGCGCCAGACAACACATCAGGAACCTGTCTTTGGTCTTCTGTCCTGTAACTGCATTCTCCAACCCTCTTTTTAATCCTTGCAGAAACCGAGGATGCTTCACATTGTGGAGTCTAAACCATAACACAGAATGATATAACATATTTACCTGCAGCCAAAAGAAAGAAATATTGTTTCATGTTTGATTATGCACGTTAAAAAGAAACCATACATCAACTAAGCAAGTTTAGCCTTACCCAAAACCAGGTGCGGCCAATGAATCTTCCTTCAGGATTTGTGTTAGTCCATGAAGTCTTCATTTGAGCTCTTTGATCACAGTTGAAAAATTCCATGGTCTCATCTCCACCAACCAGAATTGAGGACTGAGCTGATGCCATCTACATGATAGTCCACAGTTAAAATAGATAACAGTAATAAAGAGAGCATTCTGAAACTAAGAACAGAATCAAAGGAAACGAATCAGGCATTGAACATAATAAGCCTATGAACTCTCTTACCATCGTATTTCCTGAAGATTTGCTGCAGACTAGACAACTGTAGTGACTCTGAGAGCAGGCCTAGCCAGACATAAGAATGTGTGAGATTTAATTTAATGACTATTCTTAAATCTTTATTCAATAACAGAAAAAACAGAAAAAGAAGAGTAAAACATGTATTGTTTTCATGTGAGATAAATAAAGACCTCCAAGCAAGCTGAATGCATAAAGTGGCCACATGGTAAAGCTCTAATGCTTGCAGTTGATGTGAACAAGAACTCATTGCAGATAGGGCAGTTAGTTTCTAGGCATTTCTCCCGGCACTTGTGGTTCACCAAACCGATGCCCAAGCAACAATTGCATGTCATGCAGTGAAAATAATCAATGCCGAGGCCCTTCCCAACACGGCATAAATTGCAAAATGGACAATGATATACATTCCTGAGAAAGGAAAAGTAACACTGATATTAAACCAGAAAATAGTTGCTGTCTACTGATATAAAGAAGAGTATCATCTGTATAAAGAACAAAGTTTCCTGATAAGAAAATCTTATTATTTCGCTCCCTTCAAAATTATTCGCTTGAATAATTGATAAGTGACAAGAACAAATTTTCGAATAAACTTCGGTACCTGTCATCATCAAAAAGTTTGCATGTACTACAATAAGACTTTGCCATTGGGAATCCGTTGCAAGAAGGCGTCGAGCATATTGGCCCAACTGGCTGAATATTAAGACATTGCATACACATCATTTCTGTTGTTGCTTTCCTGCAGTAAAAATAAGAAAATGTCATCTAGATAGAATGGCTCAACTTGACAAGAAACTATATCACCAGAAAATTACCTATCAATTGTGTGGTCGCTGCTCATGTCATGGCAATATCTACATGTAAACAGCCTGCCACAGCAAGCAGCATGGAGTTTGCAGTTCCTTTTGTAATGCTTACAACCATACACTCTTTTCTCGGGATCTCGAAATTCTGGTGACTGTCCCACTGAATCGTCACCATCAAATCTATCCTCTGCTAAGGCCTGAGGTAAACTCTGCTGAGCAGCCATCCAGTAACTAAGATAGAAGATGAGTAGTTTATAAATAGAGAATATGACCTGGGCATGAATAGTTAATTAAATCATTATGTTTCATGTACAATATAATAATTTTAGAAGTCTTAAAGCACATAGTTACCAACAGACTAACCTAGTCATTAGATTCTTCAAGTTATTCTTCTTATGAGACTTGAATGTGTGATCAATTCGCCGCAGGCTTCCTTGAAATTTAGCATATTGAATTAACAAAAATATAGAATCATGCAAAAGGGAACAAGACCAATATAGGATATCTGTATGTTCGCAGCATTTTCAAGCACAAACCTTTTGGAGAAATCCTAGTTTCAAGCTTTCTAGTCTGTGAAGTTGAGATTGAAGTTTCCTTCCAGCATTCAGTAAGCCATTCGTTGAACATTGTATTTTTGGTAACTTGCTTGAAGGTATTCATCATTTTACTCTGTTCATCCGCAGTAAGTGCTGAAGTTATCCATGGTAACATAGATTTTAGCACTTCAGCACCGGTAGTACCCAATATGAAACCAACCGTTTTGTTTTGCTCCTCCACAGAGAAGTGTTTCCCAAATAGCGGCCATAGTTCAAGCTCTTCCCTGGACATATGCTGGTTTACCATCATTCTTAGTGTCTTGAACATTACATGAACATTGATAGCTAACTCATAGTACTTTTGCACGTGGTCACTAGACTCACTACATTGGGTACTAGAAAAACCTATCATACTTGCGTGAAGGTGTGAAAGCTCAAACAGAACACCCGAAATATTTTGAAATGCCTGTTCCTCTTGCTTGTGATCCTGTGTGTATGAGTGACTCACATTATGAAGTGCATCTCTGGATTCCAATGCCGGATACACTATATGATCATCAGCATCACTATGAGCTTTATATAGGCCCCATAACAAGCAGAAACATCCAATGAACTGCTGAAGAAATATCTCATCACAATTGCTGAGTCTTTGAGATTCATTGTCTAGATATTCCAAGTCACGGCGTATTGCCTTATGAACTTGAAAAACAACATCAATTGGCTGTTCTGTAAGTCCAGTAGCCGAAAAGCTATTATATGTTTCCCAGACTGAGTGAGATCGGGCAATAGAGTTGAGATGCAAGGAACTAATTGACTTAACCTTAGAGAAGGAACTAAGACCCGGATTGTTAATGTTTAGTCCTGGACATGGGATACAGCAGGACCCATGAGAGTTGAAAGCATTAGTCTCTTGGTATGCTGCACAACAGATGTCTCTAGTCGACAATGCAGAAGCATAGGTACCTGATGATTGACCGAATTCTTCATCACGATTACCAAACCTTTTGACAGAACAGCATCCTATTGCACTTGAGCAGCTGTCATTAAAAGGCTTGCTAGCCCAACCACAAAAGAGCTGGACCAGAGCAATATCTGATGCTGTTGCTGTATCAAACAAATTTGTAAGAAAGGTTATATAACGATAAACCAATATGTATGCCAACAACTAGCCATAAAGGGACAGATACAGAACCTGCCAGCTGCATGTTTTCAACAAAGTTCCTGGCTTCATTTGCCGTCATTGAGTTTACCAGCCATGGCAAGGCACTCTCAATCAATTTCAAGGGCATCACACACAATGTTTGATGCAGAAGTTCCCGTTGTCTTGTGACACTAATGTGCTTTCGCACAAGTGGAAGGACCTAGACAGACAAAGAGCACAGCTGATGCTTTCAGGAATCAAAAGGGGTGTTCAGTGCTACAGGCTGTAGTCATGCAGCAGTAATTATTGAGAGCAAAGAGTAAAGAAGCATGGGGTTTCTGGTACCATCTTTACATTATTAGAAGCAGGGGAGATAAGTATTTTTGGAAATCTCGTCTTCTGCCAGTCACTTTCATGCATCATATACAAAACTTGTAAATAATTTTTTTCTGTGTATGTCTCTCTTTTGGTTCATAGTACTGGTGCACAATTACAGGGAGCCCGGAGCATGCTGCATAACTTTGCAAAAGCTATTTTATCAATTAGGAGATCTCACCTGAACTTCCTCATCATGGAAGTGCCGCGTTAAAGTTTCCATGATTTGATCAGCATGTGAGCATATTTTTGAATTAAGTTCAGCAACTGAACAAGAAATTTTTCCTGCCTTCTGTATACTTTCAATCAAGCACCTAAACTGATTGAAAACACCTTCTTCTTTTGAGTGCTCCTGGAAAGATAAATTTTTTCCATATACTGCAGGATATATGACCTTGGACTCAGCAACACTGCAACAGAAAACGAAACAGTATTTCAAATGAAAAAAGAGGGGATAAAATCCATTGCTGCAAATTAATCAAAGCATTTGTGTCAAAAAAATTAAGAATTATTTTGATAAATAAATAAATAATGTAAAACAAGCTAATGTTTTAGAAGACCTGTGGAAGATGCAAATTTCAGCAATAAAATGTAGCTTGTCACTGAAAACTGATAGGTCATATGCTTCAGAAATATGTATCTTCTTGGCCTCCTCAAGTATCTCATTCAACTCTCTTTTAATAGCATTGTGCCAAAGCATTACAGTATCTATTGGATGCTCTCCAGTGAACTCAGATACAGAATATGCTCCATTCTTTTTATGAGATATCATGCTCACCGGAGAGTATTTCCCTTCCATCCAAGAAAAAATGACCTTCAATAAACAAAAGATGTAATCAACTGCATGAACTTGGTAAAAAACAATCTGAAAGAATTCAAAGCTAGCTTTAAATTAGCAGTTGAAAAATCGATAACCTGTTGGAGAAGCTTCTCCTCTGGTAATATCTTGCTCAAGCACTTGTGCAGATCGTGATATTTATCAGGCGAAATCGAGGATGACAACCAGGGGAGGAACTTAGCCACTACACTTGTTGGGATGCTGCACAAAAGCTTCCACACTAAAGATGCCTGCTCTTCAAGTGAGAAGTTCTGATTAAGCAAAGGGAAGACCTGATATATTGAAAAGACAAACAAAAATGGTTATAGTATTGTCACTTCAATTTCCAGGATATGAAAAAAATAAAAAACAAACTTGATAGACATTTATAAAAACATTATACATACGTACACATATTGCAAATACGCAAAGCTCAGTTTGAGACAGAAACTGATCTTATACTGAAACACTTACTCACAACAATTGATTCATAAGGGTGCATGCACAGATGCGTAATGGACTTTTTTTGTGAGAAATAGCATTTTTCACTGCCGAAAGTGATGTTATTAAAATTGCATACGAGTGACTTTTGGGTTCACCTCATAATCATCTACGCAACAAAATCAGCCAAATAGAAAATCATGGACTATTTTTGAAAGGGTTAAAAGTGTCTTCTGACAACTAAAAGCACTCCCGATAGCATTTATGTGAAAAACTTAAAAGTGTTTCTCAGGATTCATTTCCAAGTGCTTTTCTAGAAAGCACTTGGATCTTTAGTATATAGAAATGTTTCGAAAAAAGCGATCAGGAACAAGCTTCCTACAAAAGCAGTCCCAAACGAGGAGTCATCTAATTGTAATCACCTGTACTAGTTGAAGTACAACCATTCTCTTTCAGTCACTCTCCACAGAGATGCAGAGATCTCATATATAGTTGTTAAATTAGGGAAATCTATCCTCGATGGAGTAGTTTAGTATACCAGACGCATCATCTTATATTCTTCACTGTTTTTAGTCAACTAAGACGTGGTGCCATGTTGGCATTTATTATAAGTTATAAGAAAACAAAGGCGTAGAACAAAAACCTTGTGTCACCAATGAATTAATTAATCTATCATACACTAATATATATACCTTGATTCTTGATCATCCATATTCTTATTTTCCAGTAAACCACGTGCCATTTGACATGAAATTTTTAATTCAATTTCGTAGTCAATGATATGCCTTTCCTATTTTTTTTTGCCCCCAGTGGAAAAGAAAGGAAAACGCATATCATTGACTGGCGATAGTTGTAGAGTTTTAATACTTCATAATATCATTATAGAATGCAACAAAATAAAAATAAAAATAAACCATACCTGCTCCTCTTCCTTTGCCAAGCCTTGACCAACCAAGGTTTGTAAGGCTCCTGTAAGAAACGCCAACTCCCTTGGGAAAGTTTCCTCATTTTGTATGCTAGAACTCAGCAGCTTAGACAGATTATCAAAAAGAGTCTTTTCACCAACGTGTTGAAGGAAGTACGTTGGTGCTATATTTTTCACGCGTGTATCAATAGCTGCAAATATCACCTACAATTCCAAAATTTCTTCACAACACTAACCCCCAAATGTAATAGAAAAACTTGGGTAGGGAGTCACCCGGCCGCAAGGTTAAAACATGTTCTGTTTACATGTTTTAAATTGACGGTACTTGTAAGTAAGTCAGCAAGTCACTTGACAGAGACACAAGTTTTTCTCTAAATGTACGTACTAAATCACATAGGTACATGTCTATTGGAAGCTGTACGTACCTCATCTTTGGCATTTAAGTAGTTCTCGTAAATGGATCGGAGAAAACGAAACTGCTCCGAAAATGCTGCATGTTGTCCCATGGCATAGCCCATTGCCAACTGGTGAAGCACATCCAGCTCATTACATATCGTCTTATGAATGAATAAGATGAGTGAAAGTGGTGAGTTTGCCTTGGATGATGATGAATAATCAACCATGTCTCCATGTTGCAACCCCATTAACAACATTGCCATCTTGCCTTGCTTTTGGATTGTTGATTACAAATAAAGTCCAAATTAATAGAGAGGACAGGGGAAGGGAAGCTTATATAGTTGGCATGGTGTGCACCTTGGTGGTTAAGTTTGGACATGATATTGAAGTCAATATTTGTCGTATGGATCCAAACATGGATTAATAAACAAGTAATTAAGAGATCTAGTCATGAACAGGGACAGATATTCAAGTGATCCAAGAAATGCGTGCATGATTATTGCCATTTTATAACAATTTTGGTTGCTATGCATGCATCATAAGATGATTTTCTGGTCGTAATCCATGCCCTACTGCTTTTAGATTTTATACTTCATTTGTCAACAAAAGCGGGTGCCTGGTCATGCTAAGAACTCTAAAAACTTATAAAGAAACTTCAAGTTTGGTAAAGACAGCTAATCAAGGACAATAACATATATATTTGCAGGAATATATATTACCGTCCTCTATTCTTCAACTCTACCATAGAGCTTAACGACAAGCAGATTAAGCAAAGAACCTGAATAAATTTAAAAATGAGACGTGGTGCACTTAGCTAATGCATACGTGGAGCTCATAAATGGGTATAGAATGGTATAGATGGAATATGCATCAATAATGGATGCATGGTGTTGGTAGACTAGCGAAAAGGGAATTATTTGGGAAGTTTTGCTATTAAATCATGATTAGAATTTGGAGAAATGTTTGAGATGTGCAATCTCATAATTTTAAATTTTAACTAATGCTGTAAGAGAGAGATAAAGAGAGAGATAGGGAGAGAGAGAGAGAGAGAGAGAGAGAGAGAGAGAGAGAGAGAGAGTTAAGAGTGTATTCCTCCATAATACAACATACACGAGGAAAATAAATGGTAATTGTTGACTGGGTAAATGATCTCCTCGATTGGCTGGGCCCCGACTCGGGCCAGGACCAGCAAATGGGTTAAACAAACCCTAAGTGGACGAACCCCGCAGAACTATATGAGTCGGGAGGTCCCTATGATCCTTTAGAAGACCTTGCACACTCTGAACAACAAGAGAGATTATCGAAAGGGGGTACCGGTGTGGTATCAACCAAATCCCCTTCGATGTCTAAGTTAGGGGCTGAATTGATGATGTTCTTGAGGGAGTGAATGAGTGGAGTTTTATGAAAAATGGAGTTATTACTCCTGTCTCAATGTAGATGAAGGGTATTTATATGGGAAGAAAGGGGATCATATATCCTTAAATCTAGCCTAGAAGAGATATTCAGCCACCCCCCATGCTAGGATAGGAGAGTGGATGTAGGCGTCAGTCACCATGCTGATTTTCAGGGACCAGTAGTGGGATGACACCTGGACTATATTTGAAGTGCATTAAGTGCTCCCTTTCAATCTTGTCCTGACACCCATGTGGTTTAACTTGTCCAGAGAAGCGATCTTCCCTAGATCCTCTAGTCAGCTTGATTTGCTTCACAGGTTCAACTGAGGGGGATCTTGGGGAACTCTACCAAGTATATGGCTCAGGTGGTTTTGACCATAAGCAGATGTCATCCAATTGACCTTGGTCTGGCAAGGCATGTGATATGATCGGGTCGGTAGGTTTGCTTTTGAGGTAGTGACCCGTCATGGCGAGTCGAGTTGAATCAGCATGCGGGGGTGTCTACTTCACTGACCACATGGCACCATGCTATAGGCTTGGCGATATGGTCCATTAACAGTAATCATATGAATTGCTCATCAATTTATAGTCAACTACAGAATCCCTCTGTTCAATACATTTATGACACTTACCATCTCGTCTAGTATTTTTCTTCCAATGTTGCAAAAGGTTAAATTTAGAGTGCTACTAAACGAACCCTAAAATTAACTGAGTATACTCTATGATCTAAGTACACCATAATATTTAAATTAAAATATAAAATTAACTAAGTACACCCTAGTTAACAACCAAAAATACCCGCCTAATATACTCTAGAGATTTTCTATTTAAACCCCACACTTCTCTTAGTTCACCCCATCTTTTAATTTAAATTTTCACAATTTCTAAGAAAACCCCACTATCTTCCCAAACTACCCTTAAATACATCACAAACTGAAAAAATAAGAAATAAAATAGATTTTCTATTTAAACCCCACAATTTTCTTTGTTCCCAGCAGAAAAAAATACAAAAAAATGGAACCCCAAACCCAAAATTTAATACTTTCTAGAGAAAGAGAACAATTTTACCTCTCTCCAAGTAGAGGAGTTTGTAGAAGAGTTTGTCCTGATTTGATCCAATTTATACTTTACCTCTGTCCCGATACAATTTAAATAGGATGTAGAGGAGTTTGTATTTTTCTAAAACTTAATATGAAGAGTGGTGGGGTGTGTGTATAGATGTACTAGGGTTAATTATTAAGTTGGATGACCTTTTTTGTCTTTTTCCACAATAATAAAACTTACAGCTTAATAATTTAAGTATTGGGGTGAACAAAGAGAAGTGCGGGGTTTAAATAGAAAATCTCTATACTCTATTTAAATAATTTTAAAAACTTATAATAAACATTACAAATGAAATAATTGAAAAGATTTATTTATAAAAATAAAATTAAAAAACCTACCCAGCCCCCCACTCTCCCTCTCCTCCCACAACCGCCTCTATACCTAGCCACCCACCCATTCCTTCCTCAACCACCCATCCATCTCCAAGTTCTACACCCTCCCTCCCTCCCACACATCCCTTCGTACCCAGCACCATGGTTGAAAATTTCAGGCATGAAACTTATTTCCACTGAAGGAGGCAAGTGACATGACATGCTGCGATTGCTCAATGTTATTTCCACTGCCACCACCACCCAATGTTACATAAGGCATCAATGTTATATAAGGCATCAAGGTAAAGTTTAGGGGTTGAAATGGAACTACAAAGTTCTTCCCATAAACACTATTTTGGGCATGAGAGGCAGCATGAGATGTAGTATTCTCCCCATTCATCTCACCCTCAAGCTTGCAAGATTGAAGGGTTGAATACGGTGAGTAAGGTGTACTTACTAAAATCACATTTGTTTCACAATTCAATATATCCTTTTTAGTCATTTTATATTAGGGTAAATTAGTAATTCAATAAATAGTTTGGTAGTAGGGTGTACTTAGCTAATTTTAGAGTTCGTTTAGCATCCTATATAAACATATAGGGTTTGTTTGTTTGTTTTTTTTTTTTTGCCAGCATATATAAAGATATAGGTTCACTATTTATCTATATGCACCTATATTTTTCAGGTCCCTAATTTACCTACATTATATAAGTAAATTATTTACCTATAATTCTTTATGTTTTTCGCTAAGACGATGTATATTAATTTACCTATATTTTTATTACTTATATTTAAAATATAATTTAAAATTGGCACATATTAATTTTGAATTTAAAAGAATGGGTACATTAATCTATAAATGAAATTTGAATTAAAGAGAAGGTGGTAACAATTGATGGAATGAAAATTGAATATATTGCCAAAAAAAAAAAAAAAAATAGCCCCACGCCAAAATAACAGTAAGAAACCAAATTGATTATAAAAGAAACAAATAAGAACATTAAATGTCACCAATTTGGAAAAAAATAAACATTAAATTACACCAAATTAGTTGAAAAACAAAGTCAATAGAATAATAAGAAATCAACACAATTAATTGAGGAAAGGTAAACGATAATGAGGAGTATTTTTGGAATCTAAAAAGTACAATAAATTAGATTTGTAGCTTGATTAGGTATCTAGTTTAGTTGGATCTTAGTCATTGGGTTTTACTTATAAACTAAGATCTTAGTGATTGGGTTTTACTTATAAAAGTCAGGGTTTTATGAGAAGAATGTTAACCTAATGGTTAGAATGATGGAGTGCCACGTGTCAGTGGTTAATTGAATTGATGTGTTCACACATGGGATTGTTAGAATTGTTTGAACAATCACGTGTATTATAGTTAGCCAGCTATTAGTAGATATAGTTGGTTAGCAATAGTTAATTAATCAGTAACTACTGCTACTAAGTATATAAACTGTGCTATAATAGTTTGAGAGTTAATCAGAAAATCATCTTCTTCAATCTCAATTTCTCTGGACTCCTCTTTGTTCTCTCTTCCCATGTAATCATGTCTTCATATACTATTAGCATGGTATCAAGAGTAGCGGCAATCAATACTGGATTTGTTGTATTCCTTAGGTCCCATCCCATATCCTGGCAGTCAAGAAGCAGAGCTCAGTGTCTCAATGTTCAACTAAAGCTGAGTATCGTGCATTAGCCAATACTGCATTTAAGGTAGTTTAGATTCATCACCTTCTTGTTGATTTGCATGTATACAATGGCGGACCCAGGAATTTTTATAGGGATAGGCTAAATATATATATATATTTTTTATAGAGGAGATATATTATAAAGCATTTTTTTTTCTCTTGAAACAAAAATGTAAATAAAATTTTATAAATCAAACATGGCCACATTACAAGCAAATATAACATAAAGAAGTATAAAAATATAAATAAATATCAAATCAAATACATTGTCCAACTTAAAAAAAATCATATATGCTAATTAATAATTCAAGTTGCAAAAATAAAATATATATCAACAATCTCCAAAAGTTTTCACCCTAACCCTAAATTATAAAAATAAACTTACCACGATTAAAGAACCTACTGAAGATAGGTTGGTAATTTTTTTAGAGGAGGAGAGCTATTTCCTCTTGGCTCTCAAGATTCAAATATGGCGTTTTGGGTGGCTAGAAGAAATTTTTTTATGTTTGCTCTCTGTGGGTGTAGCCACTGGCAGACCCAGAAATTTTTTAGCGGAGGTGCAATATTGACTAAGTATGAAAATTGGTTTTTTGGAATACTCATTTTCTCAAGGTAATTTTTGGCGGCTTTTATTCCTTACACATCAAATAAGTATATATTGACTTAATGAGCCATCATTTTTAGCCTAAATCGTATTTTGCACTAAAATCGATTTTTCATATTTTGATTTGGTGAAAATTTGATTTTCTAGTATTTTTAT